TAGCCATGCAAGGGAACCACTACCTAGCTTGCTAGCTTATTAACTAGCTAAGTAGCTAGCTATTCACGTGTCATGGATAAATTCATCACTTGGCTGGACGAAGTTTGTACATTTCTCTAGAGATATAGGTCTTAAATTTCATTTATTATGATCTTTAAAAGTCTTACATTTGAATTGGTGAAACACTAACTTCACTTTGTGTTGATCTATTTGCATTTCAAAAAGATAAAAGTTTAGGAATACTTATGCAAGGCATTCTCAATCTTCTTCCATTGCCTTTGTTTAATGTGTAAAGTTCCTGGTCAGTTTAAATTTCTATGCAACTCAGGAGGGAGAAATAATGATATTTGGAGATGGAGGTAACATCTGCCCATGTGTTTGTTGTTAATGAAGAAAGATATGCCTCACTTTTTTTTTTGCAATTTTCTAGAATAAAACTTCAGAAGTTTTTAGAATAATAATTTTGGAAATTTTTGAGTTTGGAAAGTAGAACATTTGTTAGAAAAAAACTCAAATTTTGATATGTATCTCATAAATTTGCAAGAAAATAAAAAATTTATACATTTTTTGAAGAATTTGAGACAAAACTGGGACATTTCCAAGTTAGTTTGAAAAGTCAAAAATTTGCTAGATAAAAATCAGAAATTTGGAGATTAATCTCAGAAGTTTTCGAGGAAAAATATGGGGAAATTCCTGAGTCAAAAGTCTAAAATTTTCGACCTTTGAAACAGGAAATTTCCAAAAGTCGAAAATGTTTGACTTTTGAAACTTAGAAATGTACACTTTTTTTTCTTTGAAAATTTCTGAGATTAATCTCCAAATTTATGTTTTTAAAGCAATTTTTTTTAGTACGGTGACCGTAATATGTCGTCATCACTCACCGAGCTAACAACAGGGGGCTTGTAGTTCCGTGACATATTTTCCATATATGGTAAAGGGAAGGGATTTTACGTTTTGTCTAGAAAATTAGATTAATCTCCACATTTATCAGTTTTTTTGTAGGAAATTTGCTCCTTTTTTATATCTAAAATTGCCTTAACATGCCGCTGTAGTGAGCAGTATGGAGAGGTTGTGATGTTTTTCTTCATTTTCCATAAAAATATCTTTTACTTTGCTCGATTATTTATTATAAAGATGCGGTAACGTGATTTTCCGAGTCGTCCTTAAATGCACCAGGAATGTAAACATGCTGGTGTTCTCTTTATCTGTGCTACCCGTAAATCCGTCCGGTTACACCTGTGGATCTGAGAGTGGAGGCTAAATATTCAGCCAGAACCAAAAGGCAAAAAACTTTTTGTTTTCTTCCAAACAAACCGAGTAAGTCAAGTAACGCTGCTCCACGCAGATAATGTTAGCTAACAGATGACTAGCCAATCCATGTTATTATATTAAGCTCGTTAGCAAGAATACTAATGTTTTCCGTATTTTACATCCCTTGCAGGTTAGTTAATGCCAGGAATAAACCAAATCCTCTTTAATTTTGCTGCATAAGTTGTTCTCAGTGTTGCTCTCCACACAATTTCTGTGAAGAAATTATTCATAGGATAAAAAGTCAGGAAGGAGACATGCAGGTAAGGACAGATTATAACTTAATGAGAAAAAGAAAACACTGCAAAAACACAAACTTTTACCAAGTATTTCTGGTCTAGTTTCTAGTGCAAATATCTTAGTAAACTTTAAATAAGACAAAATTAACTTCAAGTATTTTTTTAGCAAGATACAATAGCTTGTTTTATGTAAAAAAAATCCTTAATTGTGGCGACAAAGTTCTAGTTCCATTGGCCGATTGTTGCACTTATAACAAGATATTTTCTCCATGTTATAAGTTAATTTATCTGCCATCAGAACTAGTACTTTTTAAACAATATTAAAGAATCATTTATTTAAAACTTTTATTTGTGCCAGAAACTAAACCAAAATTAGTTAGTTTAGTTTCTAGCACAAATAAAAATGGCACCAAATACAAAATCTGGGTGAGATTTTGTATTTTTGTAGTGAAGGAAAGAAAAGATTATGTGTAGAAATGTCCAGTTTTTGTAACATCATGTTATTTCAAATTAAAGCTTAAAACATTCACAACTTCACAACAAATAAGTAATTGTAGGCTGCAACAGTCTTGAATTTAACTACCTTTTTGTTAATTAAATGTTTGCTTTTGTCTACAAACAAATATATTGTTAATAATATTACACTTAATCCTCTACATGACTTTTAAATATGCATCAACAGTTTTCCTGTGATTAAATACTGCAGCTTGTTTCAGCAGCATTTACAGATGAAGCTTATGATTTGTTCTAATAATTTTATTTCCTCTGTTTCTTGGCGCAGAAGAGAAGCGAGTATCGAGCCAAACCTTTTATCCGCCGAGTTCAAGTTTCGGCCAGATGTTGGTGCCGCTCTCCGCAGTCTGGACACACACTCGCTCCGCTCCGTCTTGGTTTCAGTCCTGCGTTCAGCAGGCGTTTTCTGTGCAGAGATAATTAGCATCTTTCCAGATTCGGGGCGTTTTGCAGACGCAGAGAAGGTAGATTTACATCCATTTCCAGTGATCAAAGGTGTGTGAGTTTTTTGTCTGCTTCTCTGTGAATTTATGTGGTTTCTCATTATAAGTTGTTTTGTTTATCTTATACAATAACGTAATTACTGCCTCCAGAAACAGATGTCTCCACACCTTTCATTATGAAAGGGTAAGCCTGTGAGATATGAGCCTCCTGCTGCACAGGAGAACACAGATTTCTCCTCGCGCGCAGAATAACAGCGTCTTCATTAGATTAGTTGCAAAACAGCAGAAAATAAAGTGAAGGATAAACAGCAATTTAATTTAGTTTTCAGCAGAAATTTCTCTAAGAGACGATCTCTTTCTCTTAAGTTGTCTCAAAGTGAGCAGCTTCGCTTTACATATTCACAGTGGGATGTGAGAACTTTCTGTTTTTAAAGCTCCAGCTGGGCAGCTCTATAAGGCAGCTGAATAATAATTATCTTAGCAGTACTTCTCTCTTCTTTTTATGCTCAATGGGTCCTTAAAAAGCCAGGCTTGTTTCATGAAAAGCTGCAATTTCGTGTTGTTAAATAAAGATTCTGATGGCTTTTCAGTCTGAAAGTAAACATGTGATAATTTGAAACAAATTGGTCTTGTTTTGTTTTCGTAAAAGGGAAAATCAATACCTAATCAAACAGATTTCTCCTAATCAATACACACTCAAATGTTTAATTCAAACTTTTAACATTCTTTAATAATCCAGAGTGAAATTAAATGTTGTGAAATTTCCTGTAATGGCAGGAAGGATCTCCTGCAGCAGTCTGTGTTACATCACCTGAAAGGAAGCCTCTGACTAAAGTTGATGCTGCTACCGCCATGCTTGGTGGTTAAACGGGTTTGAAAACCTCACCTTAATAAATTTTAATTCTAATCTAAATGTAGTTGTTGAACGTTTCCAAAATTGTGTAAATTGATCTTCACCAGGATTTCTGCAGGTTTCACAAACTCAAATTTAAGACTTTCTAAAACCATTCTGAATAAAATCTAAGACCTGCACTACAAAAACACAAAATCTTACCGATCTTACTTAACTTACAAATAACTTTTCATCATTGTTTTAAATCAATAATTCCTTAATATTGATTAAACAATTCTAATTTCATTGGTAGATTATTTCACTCATGAGAAAAATGTCTTCTAATAAGTAAAATAATTTGTCAATGGAATTAGCTAGTTTACTAGCATCAAAGCTAACTTACTAGCTAGCACCAAAGCTAGCTAACAAGTTAGAGTATATTGGTAGCACCAAAGCTAGCTAACAAGTTAGAGTATATTGGTAGGTACTACTAGCTAAAACCAGCTGTTTTATGACAATAAGTTTCTTTTTTGCTGTCTGTAAAATGAGCCGTTTCAAAAATCTTCTGAATAAGTCACAAATTAGCAGGCGCTGCCCCGTCGTCTAGCAACCCCAGCCAAGCGCGTCACTTAGCAACCAGCAGCTTTTATCACTGTATGCGCTGTACAATGGCTGCTAGAAAACACAAGTGTTTTGTTGTTGACTTACCATCTATAAACCACTTGTTGGATTCTTGTTGGATGTGCAGGAGGTTCCACTTTTACTTTTCAAAGATGTATAGTTGTATAATTGTGCATCGGTTTGCAGCCATTTTCACATGCGAGTGTAAATGTTGAGTAGGGGGGCGTGGCCAGCAGCAGCTTATTTGGATTTAAAGTGACAGTAGTTTTTAAAAGAGCTCATTCTGACTCTCATTATCTGAAATGATTGTGCACAAAAAATGTAATTAAAATGTTTTGTCTATAAATTATTCTAAACTGTTCTAGTCACCTTTAGAGCTAACTGAAGACATTCATCTTGCTCTTTGAGATTTTTCCCCATATTTCTAAGTCAATCCAAATGAAGCTGTAAGCATAGATGTTAATACTTTCTTTATTTCTTTTTTTTTACTCTTATTATCTGACCTGAGCCAACCTGCCTTTCCTTTTACTGGAAACGCAGATAAATCCCTCAAGCCTTCTTAATTTCTGATGATTTTTTACAACTCTTAACTTCCTCGTCACTCCCTCTCCAGAAGACATTTTTTCGGGTCGTCGTTGTGATTAGAACGTGTCTCCCTGTTTTACATAATGCTGTTAACACAGTTTTTCTTTTCTTTTTTTCGTCTTCCTGCCGTTTTCTGTCAAAACAAGTCATCTGGGTTAGCCCCGTTATCAGCTCCCCACTCAGCACTGCTGCAGATAAATCCCTCTCACTCTTTCACCATGCTCCTTATCGCTTACAGTGCCATGATGTGGTCACAGCAAATACAGCAGAAAGGAGATAAATCTGCTTGTCTGCGGAAGTCGCTGCTACAGATATGCCAGAATTTTAAATTCACCTCAGGAGTAAGCTTATTTAAGCCTGTCAGCTATTAAAGTTTCCACAACTGGAGAGCTGATATTCTTAGTCTCCCAGTTTGCATCTCTATGGTGCCTGGAAATACATTTCTACTGATATGACACAGAGATCTCTTTTGGAAAGATAACAACCATTCCTTAGTTGCGACATCTGTGCTGTTCAGGGATCTGTGCAGTACAAAAACACTGCAGCTTCACAAAAATCTTTAAATTGGATAAACTCTTGCAATGCAGTCAAAGGAGTTTCCTGATTTATTTCCCAAAAAGATGTAAAATCATCTTCACTTTTACTAATATTGAAAGAAAATCACATTTAAAAATCCCTGTAAGAGACTTTAGAGCAGAGGTGCTAAACTTATTTTGATTTTTGGCAACATCAAGATAACAAATGTACTTCAAACAGCCGATTATGGCAGAAAGTATTGATCAGACTGCCCATTAAAAACTGTTAAAATATTAATATAACGTTAATATGTTTCTCTGCATTTGGTGAGTGCTTCTTGAAATTAAAGATATCCATTTATGCTTCCTTGAACAGATTAGGATAGGTTAATCATTACATTTTATCCACAAAATAATTCTTATATAATGAGATTTTAGTCAGAATGAGCTGTTTTAGGGCATCATGTCACTTAACAGATGCAGAATTATATAACCGTACATCTTTGAAAAGCAGAAGTAGAGCCTCCTGCTCAACCAACAAGAATACAGCATGTGGTTTCAGGTGATAAGTTAACAACAAAACATTTGTCTTTTCCAGCAGCCATTGTACAGCAGTAAAACCAGCTGACCAAACATGGTGGAACTTAGATTGGGTTGCTAGGTAACGGGCTGGGCTTGGTTTGGGTTGCTAGGTAACGTGCTGTGTTTTTGTGATGTTACATTCCGGAGGTTTTTAAAACGACTCATAATCTAGACCAATAAGTATGAACTCATTGCCAAAAAATGGCTGGGTGTTTTTTTATGCTTGTGGTGTTTTAGAAGCAGCAGAAACCCAAATAGAAGAACGAAAATGTGCAAAATGTGAATTTTGCATTATAGGTCCCTTTAAATATTAAACATCTTTTCATATTGATGTAATTTGGCATTGTTCAGAATGAAATGGTTTTGATTAGTTTGATAAAATAACACTTAAGCACATAAATATTATCTTGAATATTCTATTTATGTGTTTATCTAAACTAGTGGTGTCCAAATTGGCAAACTGGGTCACAAAATTCATGAAATTAAAAGTGCTAATATTAATATATTCTGATTTTCTTGTTTTTCTTTTATCTCCTCAACAAAAAGCACAATGTTTTATGAACTATGTATATTAGAAACACAAAACTGCAAAATTCAACCAGTTGAAAAGTCACCTATTCATGCAGTCCCAAAATCCAGGCTCTTAAAAACAGAAAACAAAACACATGGCTCGCTAACATAAAACATGACTGGAGATAATGTTTTGTTTTTTCATTACAATAACCCAGTATAATTTGATTTTAATAATTATTTTAAGTAATTTTTTGTGTTACAAGTAACAACACCACAAAAGTTGTGTTTTTCAAACTCAATCCACAACCATCTTCTGTATCTCTGCAGTGGAAATCTCAGCTGAAATTGTCTCGTCTTCTCCGAGCCCTTGGAAACTGCACCCAGCATGCTTCAGAGACTTTATTTTTCATTTATATGAGCTATCTAACCTTGTGACAATCACATTGCCACCCAAGTGTATAATAGTTGTTTTGACATCATTTCACAAAATGGAAGTTAATATACCCCAACATGTTGCTGTGCAGGCGATACAAGGTCATCCTTGTCAACATACAGAGCTGAAATATATCTGCAGGACTGAAGCTTGATAGAAGAAAATAGTCGAAATGACTTTGTGCAGAACTGCTCTATATAGCATAGATGTTGTCACAAAGAAGAATGTTCTATGGTTTTTTGTGTCATATATCACCTTAAACTGGACTGAATCACATGTAAGATGTTCTTTTTATGTGTACTGTGTGATTCATATGGATATATTTCAAGGGTTTATCACTGTGAATTTGTGGCTAACAGCTAATGAAAACCCAAACTCAGTTTCTCAGGTGATGTAAATATTACAAAAGACCAATAAAACATTTTATTTTATAAAGAGTCATTGTTGTTTGTTGAATGTGACACGCATATTTAGTGTAGTTAATATTGTTTATTCAGTTTAATTTTGAAAATTGGGAATCCGGAAATCACCGAGTTTGTACTTCCGGTTTAGCATTACTGTTCTACGGACCGGCTGCAGCTGTTTATTCGGCGAAGCACAACCTGTAAGTTCGTAAAAAAAAGTATTATTTCACACGTAGGAGCATATATTTACAGTGTATAAATACTTAAAAAACAACTACACTTTCAGTTGATCGAAATGTTGCATCTGAGCTGTTAGCATGTTTAGCATTTAAGCTAGCGGACACGTGCATTAGCTTCTCATGTCATTTCAGCTACCAGATGTGTTGTTTGTTTTTTTACTCTGTGACCAGTGGTGTTTTGAGTAAAGTTAGCAATATTTCTGTGTCGCAAATCTGGTTTTATTGGCTAGATGTTATATTCAACCAAATTTTGAGCTTTTATTTTGTCTGTAGCACTGTATGCTCTTTTGAGTAACAAACCTCTAATATTTGAGCCTTACGTTTTGAATTTAATAACAGAAATTAACAGTTAATATTTAAAAATTACATAATTAGATGGATCAAAATATAAAACTGCCGGTGTGTCTGTGTCTGATGACTTTTTGGTTAAAATATCTTTGTTTTTCATTCAGTGGGTAGAAAATCCTAGTAAAAGTAAAAAGTACAGTGTAGTAAAAACTTTCATAAAAGTAATTTTTTTTCCAGAAAGTTACTCGGGTACATGTAACACAGTAAATGTAACTAGTTCCTCTGTCCGGCTCTGCCTGTGGGTTTCATTGAAGCATAAAGGTGGGTTATAAATTTAGCCTCCATCTTGGCCTTCCTCCCCCTTTGTTCTGACGTCCAAGGCCGGATCCCTGCTGATGCAGAGAGGGGTCGGCTCCGGCAGCAGGAACGAAGTGGACTTGACAAGTGTGAAAGATTTAGTGCTCGGCATTTAGAGTGATTATCTTTTCCCCTTTGTCAGCAGGTAGAGAAAACTCTCCACCCTTACTTCGTCCTTGGTTTTGAGTTTGATGGCGCAGGGGGAAATCCTGTCTCCCCTCCGCTGAGGTCGCCTGGGCGCATCGTTCCTGTAATGACTGTTATTCCTGCGAGTGAGATGATTATTATTACCGCAAAGCCTCACTTCTTATTTCCTGTATTTATGAGGCACGTTTTTAAACTAATATTAACTGTGAATGTCTCCTTGAATTAAATTACCATTTTCTTCTTGTTTTACTTCAACTCTGTAACTTCATTTCACCAGAGAGTCAGAGAAGTTTCAAGGTGGGTATTTTTAAAGAGAGAAATTTAATATAGCAGCTTTATTTTTGCAAGGAATTTGATTAAACTTAAAAATCCTCCTGTGCTGCCTTGTAATGAGGTCATTAGCGGAAGCGTGATGCTTCATAATCGCTACCTGAGATCCATATCGCCGTCTTATCACGGCTCCAGATATTCTGCTTCTGTTTTTTTTCCGGTGGTATTTCATCTGGATGGAGCGGACAAACAATAACAAGTCACAAGTCGACCTGGCAGACCGTTTAATGTCGGGAAATGAAAGAAGAAAACGGGTTTAATCATAACTTACCAAACACTGTGAGGATGTGAAAAGGCCTTAAATCTACTGGGAGGATTTCCACCGAGTTCAGGAGTTACTGGACGTTTTTCCAGGAGAATGTTTCTGTCTTCACTTGACTTGGACTCGATTCTGAAAGACCTGAGACTTGACTTGAGGTACAAATCAAAGTAAAATTTTAAAACTTAATTCTCTAGTCTTTGAGGCATAAGTCCAAGTCAAGTGTCAGGGTTTTGATAGCTGAGTCCATGTCAAGTCTCGTCTTTCCAAGGCAAGTCAAGTCTCAAATATTCGAGTGACGAGTCCAAGGACTTGGGACCTGGCTTGGACTCACCTCTCAAAGACTTGAGACTTAAGTTGGAGAAATTGACTTGGACTCCTCCTTTGGGTCTCAAGTGTCTTATAGTGGGTCCAAGTCAAGTCTTAAGTATTTGAGAGGCAAGTTTCAAGTCTCTGTGAGGATTGAGTCCAAGTCAAGTGAAGACAGAAACGTTCTTCTGGATGAACGGCCAGTAACTCCTGAACTTGATGGAAATCCTCCCCAGTAAAGTCCCAAGTCTTGACTTGACTAATTTAATTTAATTTAATATTTTGTCTTGTCAACAACTGATTGTGTTGCTGTTTTTTAGTACGTTGTCTTTAAAATTGGCCAGATTGTTTGTATATTTTACTTTTCTAGCTATAATTTTAAAACCACTGGAGTGAATACAAATAAAAAGAGTTCAACACGCCGCATATTTCCATACATCCACACACTGAATCCCCCTCAGGGATCAATAAAGGGCTCCAGTTAAATGGCAACAAAAGCTGCATTTCATTTGATATTTGCACTTGATGAGCCATATCACTGAAAAAGGGAGGAAAAAATGAAGCTTTGTCTGCAGATATTTCACATCTCACCAGCAAATGATGGAAATACAGTCCATCAAATTGAATTTTACAACACAAGCAAAGTTGGTAGTGAAAACTACAGAGGGTGTAATTTCTCTTTTACATTTTGTTGTCTTCCACAAAGCGCCTTCGTGGGTTTCTTTTTATGAAGGAACCCGCAGCGGAGGTCTTCCTGTTTTCCTCGGCGGACCTGCTGGCGCGGAGATTACCGGGCCGAGAGAAGCCAGAGAGCGGTGCTGAATAATGCAGCTCCTCCTGGGAAGCTGCTTTGTGGCGGACCAGGCCCACTGTCGATGACTGGTTAAACAGGTCGGCATAATATAGGTAACTGCAAGAGGGAGATAAAGGAATTCAATATTATCTGAGAATATACCAGTGGAAAGAAAAGGGGGCAAAGGTTAATATTTACAATAGTCCGAAGAATAAAAGCGGTCCATCCTCGAGAGCTTCTAATAATTATGTACGTAAGTGCTGATATCTGTAATCATATTCGCGTGAATAAGAGACGAAGACGAGGGAGTTCTAGTAATAACCCTTCAAGAGCGAATTAGACACCAACTTCGTTTGTGTTCAAAGAAACCACTTTGAGTGTCTTTTCTAAGTGAATGAAATGTGAAAGACGCTGCAAAAACACAAGATTTTACCTTATATTTTTGTCTAGTTTCTACTGCAAATACCTTAGTACACTTAAAATAAGACAAAATTAGCTTACAAGTAATAATTTCTTAACACTGATTAAAAATACGAGCTTCCACTGGCAGATTATTTCACTTACTACAAGACATTTTCCTATGCTAGCTTTATTGGAAGCTAACTAGCTAAAAATGCTAGTTCTGCAGGCAAATTTTTCCATGAAGACCATTTCCTATGCCAGCTTTGTTGCTAGCTCACTAGCTAAGATTTACTAGATCCACTTTCAGATTTTACACTTGTTACAAAACATTTTCCCATGCTAGCATTGTTGCAACCTAAATAGCTACAAAATGCTAGTTCCATAGGCAGATTAACCATGTATTGCAATATATTTTTCCATGTTAGCTTTGTTGCTAAGTAACTAGCTAAAAATACTAGCTCCACTGGCAGATTATTTCACTTATAACATAGGGAAAATTTCTAGTAATAAGTGAACAAATCTGCCAGTGTAACTAGTATTTCTCAGTTAATTAGCTAGCTACAAAGCTAACTAACTAGATTGCAACAAAGCTTGATAACTAACTTGCAACTGAACTAGCTAACAAATTAGCAACAAAGCTAACAAGTTGTCTGTAAACTTGTTAGCTTTACAGACAATTCTTGTAATTTAGCCCACGAGAATATATGAGATTAAATAATCCTGCCTTTAAAGAAGTTATAGTATTTTTTTAGTTAGTTAGCAAGCAACAAAGTTAGCATGGGAAAATGTCTTGTTATAAGTGAAATAATCTGCCAGTGGAATTAAGCTCCAATATTGTGTTGAAAATTTACCTGAAAGTTTTCTTATTTCAAGTGTATGAAGATATTTTAGACAAAATTACTTGTGTTTTTGCAGTGCACTCTAAATATACTGGAATATTTTTTCCTCCAGATTTGATTCAACGCTGCTTAGAAACAATAGAAAAAAGCTGAATCTTTTCACTTCAAACCGCATTTCAAATACAGCTTTAAAACTGCGGGGAAATAGTCATTATAAATAAGGGGAAACACTATAAACCAACCTCAAAGGGAATTTTTATGAGACTGGGATCTCTAATAAGAAACCAGTTTGGGATCCTGAAATAAGGCTGCTCTTTGTGAACTGGTGAAAGCAGTTCGGAGAGCTCGCTTTGAATTCCTGTTTCTGAAAAGGCGCCTCGCGGTTCAAGCCCACGAAATGAAAGCAATCAGATAAAAGTCTGACTGTTGATAACGGCTGGAACGCCACCAAGGCAGGAAGCGGCCCCGTCTCATTTGGGCTCCGTCGGAACCGAGCGGACAGCGGGACGTGTTTATGATGGAGAGAGTAGGGTGTCACATATCAGGGGAAATGACGGGTTTAAAATGTAGTGATGTAATGCAGCGTAAAAACGCAGATTCAGCAGAAAAGAACAGGTGGGAGGTGGAGGGTAAACGGCTCCATATGGCTTTTTTTTTGTCATCTGCATGAATGTTTCCCAATGTGATCTATAGGTAAGGCAAGCCACTATGACATTTAATCCAAAAAAAAAAAAAAAAACATAATTCAGGTGATTCTTTACAATTTATTTAAGTAAGATGACTTTGGTACTTATCAAAAATTAATTTTAGGTATATTAACAATTCTAATTAATAATTGCCCTGGAAGAAAATAAGTTTAAAAACTTTTTTTTTTTTTAAATCAGGCAGCATTTATTAGCCTGGATGCTAATAAATGCTGCATCAATCATCTAGGTCAGTGCTTTTTGGATCTTTTTAACTTTGGTTGAAAATGTTAAAGAATAAACAAATTTTTAAAAATCTAAACAATAAATTGAATTTTCCATATTTTTAATGGAATAATTGCAAAGAATTTTCACAATAAAATGATACTAACTGTAAGAGATTTTTTTGTTAGATCTATTTTCTTGTCTTTATGTTGGAAACTTTATAAATAAAATCATGTTTTTCTTTTTTATGGCAAAAATTTTCTATATTACATCGTTTTTCAAAAATTATTGTCTTGCAGCAGGAAGTGGACTACAGCGCAGGGCATTCTGGGTAAATACTACCAAAACAAACATGTTAGCTTAGCGCTAGCAGGAGAAAAGTCTTCGCCAAATACGTAAAATAAATCATACAACTGCAAAAAAACTGACGTTACTAATTTTTGTGACCGAGGAAGTTGCATTTATTGTTTTCTTCAGAGGTTTTTGTGTCGTTTCCTTCAGTTGTTTCTTGGTGCAGCGCCCCCACAGGCGAGGAGGAGAACAAATTACAGTTAAAAATGTAACGAATGTTTCTATTTTGGTTTCAAATCAGACTAAATCTGCCAGACTATCAGGGCATAAAGTATCCTAAAAGGCAACAAAGAGAATAGAAATAGATCGATTACTCAGCTGTTTTATGTTTAAATTAATGAAACATTTTGTTAATATTCTAACACATCCAGCTGTAACGTCTACAGAAGATGAGATGAAATAAAAACCCACTCCGTCCCTTTAAGAGAGAGCAAACAGAGGAGGACTTGTGGCCTGTTTAAAGGTGATGTAAACACGCCTTGATGGATGAAGGACTCCCGTCCATCCATCATCCGTCCGTCCTGAAGAGCCTTAATCTTCCACAAACACAATCCTGCCACTGTGCCCCTCATCTCGTCTGCCTTGTCTCTCAAGTCCTTAATAATATCCCTTCGTTTGGGGACCTTGTTGCTGCTGTGTCCCTGACATGCACACTGCTGGAAAAGAAATGACACTCTCCACAGGTTCAAAGCCACATGAAACGCACCGGCGGAAGAAGCTTCTTGGTCCAAATGTGTCGAGAAATGAAGATGGACGGCTGCAGATTTTCTGTTTTAAAGTTGTAAAAGAAACCAGAAGCTTCTCTGATTTGATTCAATTGCTTTTTGTTGTTCTGAAGCCTAACTTTCCCACCCCGTATTTCCTCTAAGAGGCTGCAACATTAGTTTGACTTTCAAGTCGTTTAAAGGCATTACTGTAGTTGGGTTTCGTTGG